TCGAGTACCATGTAGGGTGACTCAACATCTTAAAACAAAATAAAGAACATAAGTTCCAATCATTCGATCCCAACCCCGATGTTATATATTAGAGCAGGACTCCCTTTATTCAACAAAAGCAAATAAACACACTCTGAAGCTATCCTCTAATACTTCTACGGACTATTCTCGATCACCTGCGCGTTACCCACGTGGAGGAAATATTCAAACAGAAAGGGTGAGTAAATCATAATCATTATATAAGGCATAAGGAATGGACATAGTAAATATGCACATAAGTAAAGTTTCTCACATCATCATATCTTCATGTTATACTCACACCTTCAAAACCTCATAATTACACGAACACATATCATCATACGCAATGTATCATCAAGCATCACAAATAAATCATTATGCAATGTCACATAGAATGTAATGCAACATCATAGAATCATGAGTGTGGTGCCAAAACTTCACTGATGACTCTGTCATTGTTATCTTCAAAGATCCCCACCATAGGATCGATTCTCGCTTGGAACCAGAGCACTTCACTGTTGCACCCAATCCATACTATGAGATTGTTGCCTTCACTGGAAAATTGTCTTATCATCTTCACTTGACCGAAGTTATAATAAAATCACTGGACCAAAGTCCTAACTATGCCATGAATGCAATGATGCACAACAATATATTTAATACAGGCACGACTAATCACCATGCACCACCATTCATGATTCATCACAAACATCATCATATCATCATAGTAATTAACATAATCAACATAGAATCATCATAGTAATCAACACAATATAATAACATCATTGTCATAGACAAAGCATAATCATAAGTAAGACATCATCATAAACAAAATATCATTGTGATTCAACGCAGGGAACTTAATTCTATTCTAACTTAGGTCTCAGGGATATACTCCTTAATTCTCATTTTTCTTCACATAATTAAAGTTCATTGTGGTAGCTATCCAGCGCTTCGAATGACACCTTAATCCGAGCTCTAGAACTAAAGTTATGATCATTTTAAGATTTCCAACTTGGACAACCAATTTTGCCTTCTGTCTCCTGGCGACACACTTCCGTCTCCTAGCGACGCTACCTTCACGTCACACTTCTCCCGGTGACACTAGGGGAGACGCATTATAGAAACTAGCTCCAATTTGCCTTCCTTGGCTCCCACCTTTTCCTAGCTAAGCTCCATCGCTTGGTGACACATCCTCCACCGCCCGACGGTCTTGTTCAAACAAGATTTTCCTGTTGCGATTTCCTGCATAAATCAGTTCAATTCTCTTGTGATTTTATCATGTTACATGTCCTAAAACACCATCTAGTCACAGGGTTTCACCATCTATCAACAACATATGATTCTATACTCAATATACATCAATTATACACCATTATTCACCAATCCATCAATTTCTCATCAAACTACACCAAATCACCATCTACCAAAACCTAAGGCAATCTACCAATCATCTAAACCTTAAATCAAATATAATAACAATGATAAAACTCCCTTTTCTAGCTTTATCTCTTAACTCAATGTCTTTTTGAAACACATCTTCCCCTCTAGGAAACAATAATAGATATTGTAATGGGAAGTAGGATGGCTAAAAAATAGATATACGCTTCAATAGACTGGATTGTTCTTAAATAATAATATCTCGATCAAAGTAGATGAATCAAAATCATCAACTACTAATGCTGTAACGTGTAATGCAATGGGTAAATTATATCTCCTACCATCGCGACTTTTCTTGCCTAAGATTCTGAATTTAATTGTGGGAACATGGCTTTCCATTAATGTGTTCTGAATTGTCCTATATGTTTGTATATATGTATTCCAGACATCAAGAACCTTCTTTATGTTATGAACAATTGTTGCCTTCAAAAAAGAGTCATCATCTACCATCTTATAAAGAAAAGAGAATCAATAATAATGTCTTTATACTAATTAAAATAACAAAATTTATTTAATAAATACCACCTTCAGTCCTATTTATAAGAAAAAATTAATTTTTTAAATATATTAAATAAATAATATATCTAGACAATATATTATCCAAATATTCACTTCATCTTGGGCCATCTACATGTACACCTTTTGTCTAAAGATTAGAGGTTGTAGGGAGGTTTACATTAAGTGTGTTGAAACAATTCTAATAAAACTACAAAATTATATTGAATGATAAATAACCATTTATAGGATAAATTAAAAATCTTATATTAAATTATTCTTTAATTGTACATACCTGAATTGCCTGTAATATGAGAGTATTCACGATTCTCATTACACATAACGCATTGCACATGTGAATAGCCAACAATGAATAAGCTTTGATTTTTATTAGGGTTTCAGGATTAATAATAAATCAAGTAATATATCGATTTTGGTAAATCAAAGAAAACCAATCCAATTTAAAAATGCACTATCTGATACGAATATTTAATGGCAAATATTAAAATGATTTAATATAGATTCATTTATAAAGTTATAGAAAAATGCACTTTCTCTTTTTTATATACTCACAATTGTATCGATTTTGCAATCTTTAGATAATATAGTCCAAGAAAATTAAAAATCAGGAAAACTAAAAAATACTTTGAAAAAAAAATATTGATAGATTATTAGCAAATATTTTGAGATTTTAAAATAATATATCCCATAAAATTTTGATTAGGTATTGTTTGTAATTAAATTAGAAAATAATAAGTATACGAAATATTAAAATTATTTAAATATTTTGATAGATTAATAACAAAAAAATATTTTGATAAATTAATAGAAAATATTTTGAGATTTTAAAACAATATAGCCTAAAAAATATTGATTATGTATGGTTTGTTTCTAAAACTAATTCAATTTAAAAGTGCATAATCAATACTAAATAATTTGATAGTTTAATAGCAAAAAATTTTTTTGGATAGATTAATAGAAAATATTTTGAGATTTTTAAATAATATAGCCAAGAATAGTTTGATTAGATATTGTTTGTTTCTAAGTTTAATTTATAAATGCATAATTAATAATAAATATTAAAATAGTTCAAATATTTTGATAGATTAATATAAAATATTTTAAGATTTTTAAATAATATAGCTCAGAAAATTTTGAAATAACTGTTTCTTTTTAAAACTAATTCAAATTAAAAGTGCACAATTACTAAAAAAATCTTAAAATTATTTAAATATATTGATAGATTAATAGAAAAAAAATTGATAAACTAATAGTAAATGTTTTTAGATTTTTAAATTATATAGCCTAATTTTTTTTATTAGGTATTGTTAGCAAATGTTTTGATATTATAAAAATTTATTGAAATTAGATTTCAATTTAAAAATGCATAATTAAAAAAATTAAAATCATATAGTATCTAATGCATTTTATGTTGTTTAAGGTTTTGGGAATATAATAGTTTTTGATTTTATGGAAATTTATTGAAATCAAAATCTAACTAATATAAAACAAAACATTATGAAAAATTATTGAAATGAAAGGATAAATTTATAATTTTATATTTTGATAGATTAATAGCAAATGTTTTGAGATTTTAAAACAATATAGTATGGAAAATTTTGATTAGGTATTGATTGTTTCTAAAATTAATTTAATTTAAAAGTGCATAATTAATAAAAAAAAGTTTGATAGATTAAAAGCAAAAAAAGTATTTTGATAGATTAATAGAATTTTTCTTTGAGATTTTTAAATAATATAGCCAAGAAAATTTTGATTAGATATTATTTATTTTTATGTTTTGTTTACAAGTGCACATTTAATAAAAAACATTTTAAAATTATTTTTATATTTTGATAGTTTAATAGTCAAAAAAATATTTTAATAGATTAATAGTCGATATTTTAATGTTTTTAAATAATTTAGTCTATAAAATTTTGAATTTTTTTATTTTATTTTGTAAAACTAATTCAAAATTAAGAGTGCAAAGAATCATTAAAATTATTTAAATATATTGATAGATTAATAGAAAAAATATTTTGATAGACTATATTAAATATTTTGAGATTTTTAAATAATAGTAAATATTTGGTAATTTTATGTTTTAGGTGGCCCAAATTCATCCGAATATTTAGTAAATCAATTTATTCAAACATCAAGTTTAAAAATCAAATATTCTGTAAATATAATTAAATATTTTAAAACTTTCATGTTGTTTGTCTAAACATTACCTTTTCTTAAATTTCAGGCTTTGACCCAGGTTATAAAAGCCCAAAAAAAGACGCAACTACAACAAAAAGGTAATTAAAAGGCACTAACACTCTCCAAGCGACAAACCAGCGCGTGTACAAACCTTCCGAGCACTGATCGGCATATGAAAAACTCCGAATCGGAGAGTACCCAACACGCTCCACTCCACCGCCTGCGAAAACTTTTCAAATTCTCACTAACGAAACTCCCCGCCATCAAAGTCTATTTCCTTTTTCTTTCCGCGTGAGACTCACGCAGCTAGCTATGTCCCATCCAAGTGGTGCGTGTTAAACACGCTCAGTTGTTTCGAGTGAGTCTACTTCCCGAATATTCGGTGATATAATGCTTTACAGGCACGAGTCTTAGGTGCACCCCCAAACGCGTAACCTGGTCCACGGTCTCTCACGAACCCACCGTTGTCGTACACCTGTGTAGATTCAATAAAACGACGATCGTTTTGAGAAGGAGAGAGAAAGTCGATGAGTTCTAGAGAGAGAAAGTGAGAGAGAGTGCTAGATCTACCGGAACCAAGGTAAACCAGCTTCGAAACCCTACTCAATCTCCCCCTCTCTCTCTTGATCTAGATGCGTTTTTTATGATTCTGATTCTTCGTTTCTCTCTTGGTTCTGATAAGGTTACGAGTGAACCCTAGAAAATTTGAGGATTGATTTGGCGGTGGAAAAAGCCCAGAAATTTTAGGGTTTTGATTTTCGTTTCTTTTGTTATTCGATTTGAAGGTGTGTAAAACCCTAGGAATTTGGGGATTTTTGCACTGGTTTTGGAATTAGGGTTTTGGATGTATGGCTTCGGGGCCTACGGATGGAGCTAAAGAGAGGCAGAGATACATCGAGGGTAAGGTTTATAGGAGGAGAGTTTTCAGAGGTATCAAGAAAAACCCTAACGTAGGAGACACTGTAGCTTCCGCCACCACAACTACTAAAGAGGATAACGCCCCCACTACTACAGTCACCAATGATACTGACGGTAACAAGAACATCAACAACGATGAAGCCAAGAGTAATGTTTTGGCTCAGCCTCTGGTTTCTCGATTGGCGGTGTCGGAGGATGGGGATTTAGGTCATGCAGAAGGGAGTTCGAGATTGGAGGAAGGAAATACAGGTCAGCCACAGGAGAGTTCAAGATTAGAGGATGCAAATTCTCCACAACAGCAATTGGAGGACCAGAATTTGGTTGGGCAACAAGCGAGTTCAAGAACAGAGGATGGAAATTCACCTCAGCAGCAATTAAAGGAGCAGAGTTTGGCTCAGACACAAGCAAGCCTGAGAACAGGGGATGAGAATTCACCCCAGCAGCTATTCGAGGACCAGAATTTGGTTGGGCAACAAGTGGGTTCAAGAACAGAGGATAGGAATTCACCTCAGCAATTAAAGGAGCAGAATTCAGCTCAGCCACAAGCAAATTTGAGAACAGGTGATGAGAATTCACCCCAACAGAATTTGGAGGACCAGAATTTGGTTGGGCAACACCTTAGTTCAAGAACAGAGGATGGGAATTCACCTCAACAGCAATTAAAGGAGCAGAATTCGGCTCAGCCACAAGCAAACTTGAGAACAGGGGATGGGAATTCACCCCAGCAGCTATTTGAGGACCAGAGTTTGGCTCAGCCACAAGTGAGTTCGAGAACAGGGGATGTGAATTCACCCCAGCTGCAATTTGAAGACCAGAATTTGGCTCAGGCACATGTGAATTCAATAGCAGGGGATACGAATTCACCTCAGCCTCAAAGCTCAACACATAAGGATGTGAATTCTCCTCAGCATCTGGAAAATTCAAGACCAGATGATGGGAACACGTCTCAGCTAGAAGTGAGTTCAAGATTGGAGGACGGGAGTTTGCCTCACCCGGAATTTATTTCAAAGTTGGAGGACAGGGCTTCTCTGCAGCAAGATAATTCAATATTGGAAGATGAGAATTCGTCTCAGCCACAAGTGAATTTGAGATTGGAGGAAGGGAGTTCACTTCAACAACTAGATAATTCCACATTAGTGGATCAGAATCTGGCTCAGCCGCCCTCACCGCCAGTTTCTGATCACTTGCACAGCCATCAGCAGCCCGAACCTTCTAATGTCAATATTCGGCAGGAGAATGATAGATCTTCGAGCCCCATCCATAGGCACAGGGCGATTTCCGATGACTTGCACAGTCATCAGCAGGCTGAACCTTCTAACCCCGATGTTCAGCAGGAGGATGATGGACCTTCGAGCCCCATTTATGAGCATGGGGCAGTTCCTAGCACTGGGTACCGACATTCCGAGAATGTGACTGTGGAGCCGAGTCAAGAGGACCGATTCAAGATCAATCTGGCCTTGAAGTCAAAGCAGGAGAAACAAGAGATACGCTGGAAGCTTGAAAGTGAGCTTGGTGTAGTGAGAAATTTGGTCAAGAGGATTGAAGTGAAACAGGGGCATGTCGGTGCTTATGGCAATTCAAATGTCGGTGCTTATGGCAATTCAAATGTCGGTGCTTACGGCAATTCAAATGTCGGTGCTTACGGCAATTCAAATGTCGGTGCTTACGGCAATTCAAACGTAGGTGCTTATGGCAATTCGAATGTAGTTTTGGGTGGTGGGATTTCTAATGGAGGTGGAGCTAAGCGTGCTCACTCAGAGGTAGCATCTGCTGGTGTTTCGCGACAACCTACCAGGCCTTCACACCAGTTAAGTTTTCCAATGTTCCATAATAGTCAAGGGGTTGGTGAAAATGTTGAGAAGGAAAAGAGAATGCCTAAAGCAAACCAGTTTTATCATAACTCAGAGTTCCTGCTTGCAAAAGATAAATTCCCACCTGCAGAGAGCAATAAGAAGTCAAAATTGAATTGGAAGAAGCAAGGTGGTGGAGAAATGGGTCCCGGGCTTCGAATGGGATCCAAGTTTTTCAAGAGCTGTAGTTCACTGCTTGAAAAATTGATGAAACACAAGCATGGGTGGGTGTTTAATTCTCCTGTTGATGTTGAGGGTCTTGGTTTGCATGACTATTTTACAATCATCACTCATCCAATGGACTTAGGAACTGTGAAGACAAGGCTGAACAAGAATTGGTATAAATCACCGAAGGAATTTGCAGAGGATGTGAGACTCACTTTTGATAATGCTATGACATATAATCCAGAGGGACAGGATGTTCATGTAATGGCAGAGCATTTATCAAAGGTTTTCGAGGACAGGTGGGCTATAATAGAGTCAGATTACAATCGTGAGATGAGATTTGGCATGGAGTATGGTGCACCTTCACCTTTGCCTCGAAGGGCTCCTACATTTACTCCACCGCCTCTAGATATGCGACGAATTTTGGACAGATCTGAATCTTTGGCACGAACTCCAAGATCTATGAACAATACTCCATCAAGTAGAACCCCAGCTCTAAAAAAGCCTAAGGCAAAGGATCCCAATAAAAGAGACATGACATTTGATGAAAAGCAAAAACTAAGCACAAACCTTCAGGCTTTACCTCCAGAGAAGCTTGATGCTATTGTACACATCATAAAGAGGAAAAATTTAGCCTTGAATCAACATGATGATGAAATTGAAGTGGACATCGATAGCGTGGATGCTGAGACTCTTTGGGAGCTTGATAGATTTGTGACCAACTATAAGAAAAGTTTGAGCAAAAACAAGAGGAGGGCTGAAGTTGCTCGAGCTAGAGCAGAAGCTTTGCAGAATTCCATCCAGAAGGTAACAAATTGGATTTGAACTTATAACATTTGATAATGCATACTTTTGGTAGCAATTTTTGCTAAACATATTATCTCTTACTTTCTGTAGAGCCAGCCACCAGCTATGATAGAGATTTCTAGAGAACCACAAGCAGGTAAATTTTAATTAGTCATGGTATTTCAGACTATTATATATTTTTTGTTTTCTAATTGAAATATTTTGTTTTTCTGTTTCTGTGCCAGATGAAAGAAATGTTCCCCCATCTTTGCCAATGCAAGGGGGAAGTCAAGCAGATAATAGAAGTAGATCAAGTAGTTCAAGCAGCTCAAGCAGTGATTCCGGGTCTTCTTCAAGTGGTATTTTGATTAATATCTCGACTGTTATTCTTGCTTTTGGTAATTGTTATCAGATGTTCCCTCTTCCTCATTTGTATGTGCTGTTGCAGATTCTGATAGTGACAGTTCCTCAGCCTCGGGATCTGATGCTGGGTCACAAGGAACCTGATGTAATGCTAGGTAGAGTAACATTTTTGCTCTGTGACTGCTTATTGTTTATATCTTCTGTTCCTGCTTCTATTCTGCTTTTTCATTCGGAAGAAGAGGGTTGTAGGTAGCTTCTAAGCGGATTGTTTTCTTTCTTTGAAAAAAACTGAATACTGAGTTTGATGCTCGTTAACAACTAATGCTGTTTGCCATGAAGTGTGTCAAATGCATTTCTTATGTTTTTGGCCTGTAAATTATTGGAACAGATCCAAAGCTGAATGATTTGTGCATGTCTTAATGATAAAGCGTTAATAGTTATAGGCTTGTTTTTATGCTTGAAAATTATCATTAAATTTGTCAAACTAGTAATTTAGGCTTATTTTTTCTTTTTCCCTAACCTTTATATTATAATGCATGCTTTTTATGAACTATGGTATTCTTGTGAGATGAGGGAAAACAATTTTTAGTGAGCCTAATTCACCGGCTTTTAGCTTGTATGCTGTTTTTGTTTAGTGAATGTTTGTCTTTCTGCTTGTGTTCTTTGGATACTACAATTGAGGTGCTCTTCTATTATGTTTTTCTATTATGTTTTTTTAGCAGTTTCTTTGTCTGACAAAATAGATGTGAAATTTGCTTGCGTCTGTCCCCCTTGTCGTAATGATAGTATCATATTTGCAGAGTTAAGTTATAAGTGTCATATCAATAACAGTTTATAGGCACACTATTAAAATGTAAAGATAACTCTCCAAACTTTTTTTTAGTTTCTTGCCTTGGTAGGGTCATTCCAGGATAGAGAGTATAGAGTATAATGTAAAATTAGCTTTATCTTATGAACTTTTCTCAGCATTAGCAATTAGTTTTTCTTATGCATTGTAAACTATTTGTCTGAAGTTGGAGAAGCTTTGTATTATTTAACTTATTGTATGAAGTGATTAATCATAAACAGTGTGCTAATTTGTGTATATTTGACATTGCAGATGTTAGATGTTTAGATTAGATAATTATGATGGCGACAGTTGCCTAGTTGGTGTTTGAAGGTTGGAGATTAACAGATGGGGGGATTATAGTGGGAAATCCTACTGATGTAGTATGGGAGTTTTTGTTCCCACATTTCTTGTATAATAATGTTTGGTAAGATGTGATGATATGATTAATTAGGTAGGATAGTTAGTGTTCCGTAGCATGTGTACATTGCTAACTACTGCTGCGCATTGAGTTTCCTTGATGACATATTTATTGTTTGTGCTGGCAGATTCATGAATTTTGGTGTTATACAAAAATAATACTTGTCATGTAATTTTCAAAATACCATTCCATGTACTAGCTGACAACTGTGAAATATTTACTCAAGGGAGAATTCATCTTTGGTAGTACGACAAGGCAATTTTTGGTCATTTTACTTGTTTTGTTATTGCGTCATACTATTTATTTCCTGCTTTTCTCAATGTCTTCTCTGCCCCCCAAAGATTTTTAATTAGATTCAATTCTGAAAGTGACAAGGGGTACTATCAACGATACTAGGAAATTACGAGTAATGCGAATTTTTTTTTTGTTGGTAAGGAGTGCTAAGGCCCAAGATTACATAATGATTTGTCTAATTGGAACATTGAAATTTTCTTTTCCACCCTTATAGGTTCTTCCTAACTTCTAGCGAAAACTCAAAAATGTTTACAGGTTTTGGAGATGTATTTTTGGATGCACATTTTTCACTTGAAATAAGTACAAATTGTTGTGTTTTGTCATTTTATCAAAATTTAATTTGGAGATGTATTTTCAAATGTGGTTTAGGGTTTATTCGTAGATGTATCTCTAAATTAACCTTGTTTTCAAAATCAAGTTTTATTTTGGAGATGCATTTTTGAATACGTTCAATTGATATTATGCGTGTCATACTCTCCCTCATCTCCTTTTTTTGAAACTTTTGAGAATTTCCATTGGAGTTTGTGAGAAACATTTTTTCCAGTGAATTTTTCACGGAACAACAATACATCTACAATCTTTTCAATCTCAACTCATTTTACCTACTACATTAAATATTTTATGTCCTCTTCAACACTTTTTTTAGTAAGTTTCTCATTTAACTTATTTTGAGTTTTAAGTAATGTATTAGGTAAAATAGTTTGTTTTAAATGCATTAGGTAGTAGTAACATTCGAAATAGGTAGCTATTAGAGACATGCACTATGATTTAGTTGCATTTTGGGTCGTTAGGGTAAGACTTGTGTCTGTTTCTGTCATTAATGCAAACACGAGCTAATTCGGAGATGCATCTCCGAATTGTATCCTTTTTTTGGAGATGCATATCCAAAAATTACATGGAATCAAATTGATATTCTCCTTGTTTTTTTCCCCAGGAAAATGATTGCAAACAATGATGATGGAGTGAGACTCGATCGTGAAACCCAACACGCATCTGATCGACGTGAGAGGGCTAGACTTTAGAATGAACATAGAGCTAAGCGGAGAACCATCCCTAAGCCTCTTAACGAAGAAGCATTGACTTATAGGAGCCGCCTGTCCCAGGGGTCCTCATCCCAAAGGCACGTCTCACCTGCTCACGTAGACCAGGATGACGCTCTTGTTGTACAAGATGGCGTCCCTCCACTTGCAGACCCTTATCTTGGAGGACCCTCTGACATCTCCTTATTAATATACTTTAGAGACCATGTTGATGGACATATCCGGTCCAAAGAGATATATTTGTTAACGATTGTTATTTATATGTTTTAAATAAATTTCATGTGAATGATATTGTCAATTTCTCTTTTTAATAGGAGTTCGATTGTTTGAAGTATGTTAACCACATCAGAAAGATTCTGAAGCTTTATCATCTTAAGAATGATTGGTTCCAAAGTGTCATCTGGTACTCCGTTCTTTCCGGTCTGTGTTCTTTTGGGTACAAGACCATTAATCATGGCATGAATGAGGCTTTTGTTGAGATATGACATAAAGAAACACCTTCTTTTCACTTTCACATTGGCGAGATGACAATTACACTAGATTATATTGTTTGTCTTCTACACCTTCTCATCAAGAGGAAGTTACTTGATCATTTTAGGATCAAACGCGATGAAGCCCAAGCAATGATGGTCATTTATTTGGGAGTTAGCCCAATGGATTCCCTGATGTAGTGTGAGAGCACCAAAGGTGCTCATGCCAAATTTTTATACTTGAAGAAGCTATACGAACAAGACTTGGAGTTGATCGGTGATGCCGACGGTGATAAACTGCAAGTTACTTACCATCGAGAGTGTGCTTTGAGGTGTTTCCTCATATTCTTGGTTGACACATCCATGTTTGAGGACAAAAGTGCAACCTACATCGATGTGGAATACCTTAAGTACTTTATCGACTAGTCGACCATTCACGAGTGGAATTGGAGGCTCGTCTATTTGGTATACTTGTACTCCAAGCCGAGTGAAGGTTCTCTTTGGCCGAAAAAGCAAATGAAAGACTTCTACATCATACTAACGGTAATTTCCATAGCCACTGTTAATTCTAAAAGCAGTTTTACTTGTTACTAATGTTTTGATCTTATTCATTTCGAGGGATGTATCCTGTCCCACTTTCACCTCATACATGAGTTTGATCGTGTGTTAGAGTATATTGAGGATTGGCCATATGCTTGTATGTATTTTCCGCACAAAGTGAATGGTGTTGTGCGGCCATTCTGTGAGTATATTGACAGGACTCAACATGATGACATCGACTAAACAGTATACACCACACACCGGGACACTGTTGTATTCGATCCCATTTCATATTATTCTGGATGGCTGACATGTGAGGGGAATCTGATGTGCAAGTATTTGTCAGAGTAATGCATGCGTCAATTTGGATATGTGAAGATCATTCTGAGACCCCCAGACCTTTTGCTTATTTTTTTTGAAACTATTCAGCACTTTGTTTTATATTTTATTATTGTGAATACATGTTATATCAAGCCACAGTGTGTGGCCCAATGACTAGTATTTTGAGTTGTAAGCATGAGGGCGTGAGTTCAACTCCCTTGCAGTTATTCATTCATTGTATTATAAATACAACAAGAAAAGCTAGAGAGATAACCATATTCTCGCAGCCTCAATTCTGCACAAATCAGTCCCAGAAAATCGGAGCTTGCACAAAATCCAACAATCAGATCATTCTGAAATTTTGACACAACATTCATGACTCATGGGAGCACATTCTGAACGATTTTGATTGGATTTGAAGCTTTTTAAGTTGGTATGTCGAGTCCATCTTTGAAGTTTTAACTTCTTGGTGTTTTTGGGTTGTTTTGTCTTTCTTGATTCTTGTTGTATTCCAATATTAATTCCAAATCTTGATGATGTTTATGTATGCCTCTAACTAGTGTTAGATAGAACCTTTCTTGTAGCCATTGTTGATTATAGTGAATATTTTAAGTGGCTTACGGGTCTCATGAGTTTTTACTCCTAGTTAACAAAGGTTTTTCCATGCTAAAATTGTGTTGTGTTGTTTAATGTGTTTTTGATGATTGTCAGTGCATTTGATATTTTGGAGAGTTTGACCTCTTGGTTTATTCTGTTGCGTTTGTGATTTCCTTCCAACAATTGGTATCTAGAGTCGTGGTTTGATTTGTGTAACGATGGAGATGAACACATCTAGGATTGTGAGTTTGAATGGGTCCAATTATAATGTTTAGAAAGGAAAAATTGAAGATTTGCTTTATGTGAAAGGTTTTTACTTGTCGGTTTTCTCTAATGAAAAACCCGATGGAAAGAGTGATGAAGAATCGAATTTGTTGCATAGACAAGTTTATGGTTATATCCGTCAATGGGTGGATGATAATGTTTTGAATCATGTGAGCTCGGTGAATCATGCTCGCTCTCTTTGGACCAAACTTAAGGAGTTGTATGCAAGAAATACAGAGAATAATAAGTTGTTCTTATTCAAGCAATTGATGTCATTGAGGTATAATAATGTTTCACCAATAACCGATCACTTGAACACTTTTCAAGAGATTCTAAATTAATTGTTGGAGATGAATCTTAATTTTTATGAAGAAATTCAAGGTTTGTGGCTTCTTGGTACTTTGCCTAATTCTTGGGAGACTTTTAGGACATCCTTGTCAAATTTCGCTCCAAATGGTATCATCTCGATGGACTTGGCTAAAAGTAGTATGTTGAATGAGGAGTTGAGGCGCAAGTCACGAGGTTCTTCTTCATATTCTGAGGTTTTAATTACTGAATCAAGGAGAAGACATCAAAGTAGAGGTTCAAGTAATCATGAAACTTCATGTGGTAAATCACAAGGAGGCTCTAATATATTCTCTCATATTGAGTGTTATCATTATGGGGAAAAGGGACACATAAAGAGGTATTGTCGTAAGTTGAAAAGGGTAAACAAGAAGAAGAGCTACAACAACGACAAAAAGGAAGATAACAATAATGAAGATGTTGTTATTATTGATGATTTTTTAATTGTTTGTGATAGTTGTATTGAGAATGTAAATATATCATATGATGAAATGGATTGCGTGGTTGATAGTGGTGCTTCTACTCATGTAACCCCGTGTTGCGACTAGTTTTTAAATGAGAGTCGCCACTATTATTTTTTATCCTAGGTAAGGGCATCTAATAGGAAACCTTAATTCGCAGACATAGATTATAGGTTTCAGACTCGATTCTAGATGAAAGGAAGGTTTTAAGCACCTTTCATCTACCTTATTCTTAAGGATACTAGGTTTAGGTTTAGGTTTGGGTGAAATAGGGTTTTAATTTTAATTAGGGGAACTTGCCACGATTTTTGATCGTATGCCTACGTATCCTCTTATGAGGAATCAGAGTCTCAATTCGTAGTTCGTATGGGTTTGTGTTTTTTAGGGGTTGCAAATATATTTTGAATCACCTCGCATTTGACCGGGAGTAGTGATTGCGGAGATTTTGGCTAAATGCGCGATTAGTCAAAATCCGCTTGAAACCCTTTTGCAAAAAAAAAAACAGTTGTTTAGATTAGTTTGTTCGCGAAAAATAGTTTG